ATGGGCTAAATGCCCAATTAAAAGACATAGGCTGGTAGATTGGATAGAGAGTCAAGACTCATCAGTGTGCTGTATTCAGGAGACCCATCTCACATGCAAAGACAAACATAGGCTCAAAATAAAAGGATGGAGGGATATTTACCAAGCAAATAGAAAGCAAAAAGAAGCAGGGGTTGCAATCCTATTCTCTGATAAAACAAACTTTAAACCACAGAGATTAAAAAAGACAAAGAAGGGCATTACATAATAGTAAAGGGATCAACACAACAGGAAGAGTTAACTCTCCTAAATATATATGCACCCAATACAGAACGCCCAAATTAATAAAGCAAGTTCTTACAGACCTACAAAGAGACTTAGACTCCCACACAATAATAGTGGGAGACTTTAACACTCCACTGTCAACATTAAGTATATCAATGAGACAGAAAATCAACAAGAATATCCAAGATTTGAACTCAGATCTGGACCGAGTGGACCTAACAGACATCTACAGAACTCTTCACCTCAAAGCAACGGAATATACATTCTTTTCAGCACCACATCACACTTATTCTAAAACTGACCATATAATTTGAAGTAAAACACTCCTCAGCAAATGCAAAAGTACAGAAATAATAACAAACAGTCTCTCAGACCACACAGTGCAATCAAATTAGAACTCAGGATTAAGAAACTCACTTAAAACTGCACAACCACATGGAAACTGAACAACCTGCTCCTGAATGACAACTGAGTTAATAATTAAATTAAGGCAGAAATAAAGATGTTCTTTGAAACCAATGAGAACAAAGACACAATGTACCAGAATCTCTGGGACACATTTAAAGCAGTGGGAAGAGGGAAATCCATAGCACTAAATGCCCTCAAAAGAAAGCAGGAAAGATCTACAATTGATGCCCTAACATCACAATTAAAAGAACTAGAGAAGCAAAGCAAACAAACTCAAGAACTAGCAGAAGATAAGAAATAACTAAGAGCAGAGTGGAACTGAAGGAGGTAGAGACACGAAAAACCCTTCAAAAAAAAATCAATGAATCCAGGAGGTGGTTTTAACAAAAGATCAACAAAATAGACAGATTGCTAGCCTGACTAATAAAGAATAAAAGAGAGAAGAATCAAATAGACACAATAAAAAAATTATAGAGGGAATATTACCAGCAATCCCACAGAAATACAAACTACCATCAAAGAGTACTATAAACACTTCTATGCAATAAACTAGGAAATCTAGAAGAGATGGGTAAATTACTGGACACATAGACCCTCTCAAGACTAAACCAGGAAGAAGTCAAATCCCTGAATAAACCACTAACAAGTTTTGAAATTGAAGCTGTAATTAACAGCCTACTAACCAAAAAAAAAAAAAAAAAAAAAAAAAAGTCCAGGACCAGACAGATTTACAGCTGAATTCTACCAGAAGTACAAAGAGGAGACAGTACCACTCCTTCTGAAACTATTCCAAACAGTAGAAAAAAGAGGGAATCCTCCCTAACTCATTTTATTAGGCCAGCATAATCCTGATACCAAAACGTGGCAGAGACACAACAAAAAAAAGAAAATTTCAGGCCAATATCCCTGATGTATCAATGTGAAAATCCTCAATAAAATACTGGCAAATTGAATCCAGCATCACATCAAAAAGCTTATCCACCATGATCAAGTCAGCTTCATCCCTGGGATGTGAGGCTGGTTCAGCATATGCAAATCAATAAACATAATCCATCACATAAACAGAAGCAAAGACAAAAACCACATGATTATCTCAATAGATGCAGAAAAGGCCTTTGATAAAATTCAATACCCCTTCATGCTAAAAACACTTAATAAACTGGGTACTGATGGAATGTACCTCAAAATAATAAGAGCTATTTATGACAAACCCACAACCAGTATCATACTGAATGGGCAAAAGCTGGAAGCATTCCCTTTGAAAACCAGCGCAAGACAAATATGCCCTCTCTCACCATTCCTACCTATTCAACATAGTATTGGAAGTTCTGGACAGGGCAATCAGGCAAGAGAAAGAAATAAAGGGTATTCAAATAGGAGGAGAGGAAGTCAAATTATCTCTGTTTGCACATGACATGACTGTATATTTAGAAAGCCTCATTGTCTCAGGCCAAAATCTTCTTAAGCTGATAAGCAACTTCAGCAAAGTCTCAGGATACAAAATTAATGTGCAAAAATCACATGCATTCCTATACACCAACAACAGAGAGAGTCAAATCATGAGTGAACTCCCATTCAAAATTGCTACAAAAAGAATAAAATACCTAGCAATACAACTTTCGAGGGATGTGAAGGACCTCTTCAAGGTGAACTACAAACCACTGCTCAAGGAAATAAGAGAAGACACAAACAAATGGAAAAATATTCCATGCTCATGGTTTGGAAGAATCAATATTGTCAAAATGGCTATACTGCCCAAAGTAATTTACAGATTAAATGCTATCCCTAACAAGCTACCACTGACTTTCTTCACACAACTGGAAAAAACTACTTTAAATTTCATACAGAACCAAAAAAGAACCTGCATAGCCAAGACAATCCTAAGTAAAATAAATAAATAAATAAATAAAGCTGGAGCCATCACACTATCTAACTTCAAACTATACTACAAGGCTACAGTAACCAAAACAACATGGTACTGGTACCAAAACAGATATACAGACCAATGGAATAGAACAGAGCCCCGAGTAATAAGACCACACATCTACAACCATCTGATCTTTGACAAATGTGACAAAAACAAGCAATGGGGAAAGGATTCCCTATTCACAAACGGTGTTGGGAAAACTGGCTAGCCACATGCAGAAAGCTGAAACTGGATCCCTTCCTTACACCTTATACAAAAATTAACTCAAGATGGATTAAAGATTTAAATGTAAGACTAAAATCATAGAAACCCTAGAAGAAAACCTACGTAATACCATTCAGAACACAGGCATGGGCAAAGACTTCATGACTAAAACACGAAAAGCAATGGCAACAAAAGCCAAAATTGACAAATGGAATCTAATTAAACTAAAGAGCTTATGCACAGCAAAACAAACAAACAAACAAAAAACTATCATCAGAGTGAACAGGCAACCAACAGAATGGGAGAAAATCTTTGCAATCTATCCATCTGACAAAGGACTAATATCCAGAATCTACAAAGAACTTAAACAAATTTACAAGAAAAAACCAACAACCTCATCAAAAAGTGGGTGAAGGATATTAACAGACACATCTCAAAAGAAGACATTTATGTAGCCAACATACATATTTTAAAAAGCTCATCATCAGTGGTCATTAGACAAATGCAAATCAAACCACATTGACATACCATCTCACGCCAATCAGAATGGCAATCATTAAAAAGTCAGGAAACAACAGATCTGGAGAGGATGTGGAGAAATAGGAACGCTTTTACACTGTTGGTGGGAGTGTGAATTAGTTCAACCATTGTGGAAGACAGTGTGGCCATTCCTCAAGTATCCAGAACTAGAAATACAATTTGACCCAGCAATTCCATTACTGGGTATAAACCCAAAGGATTATAACCCATTCTATAAAGATACAGGCACACATATGTATATCGCAGCACTGTTCACAATAACAAAGGCTTGGAGCCAACCCAAATGTCCATCAATGATAGACTGGATAAAGGAAATGTGGCACATACACACCATGGAATACTATGCAGCCATAAAAAAGGATGAGTTCACGTCCTTTGCAGGGACATGGATGAAGCTGGAAACCATCATTCTCAGCAAACTAACAAAAGAACAGGAAATCAAACACTGCATGTTCTCACTCATAAGTGGGAGTTGAACCATGAGAATGCATGGACACAGGGAGGGGAACATCACACACCCGGGCCTGTTGTGGGGTGGAGGACTAGGGGAAGGATAACATTAGAAGAAATACCTAATGTAGATGACGGGTTGATGGGTGCAGCAAACCACCATAGCACGTGTATACCTATGGAACAAACTTGCACGTTCTGCACATGTACCCCAGAACTTAAATTATAATTTAAAAAAAGGAAAATATATATCCAAAACTTATCCAGGCACTGTGGTGCATGCCTGAAATCCCAGCTACTGAGGAAGGTGAGGCAGGAGAATCACTTGAACCTGGGAGGCAGGGATTGCAGTGAGCCGAGATTGCACCACTGCACTCCAGCCTGGATGACAGAGTAAGATTGTGTCTCAAAAAACAAAACAAAAACCATGTACTAACAATACCAAATGCTAGTGAGAATTTAGAGGAACTGAATTACTCATACATTGTTGATTGAAATGTAAAATGGTACAACTACTGTGGAAAATAGAAAATTTCTTTTAAAACTAAGCATATGCTCATCATACAACCCAACTCATCATACAACCCAGTGCCCAGTTACCCTTCTAGGCATGTATTCCAGAGACATGAAAACATATGTCTGCACAAAAATTTCTACACAAATGTTCAGTGCGGTTTTAGTTGTAATCGTGAAAATTTGGAAAAACCCACGTGATTTTCAACTAGAGAACAGTTAAACAAACCATGGTATATCCTCACCGTGAAACACTGTTCAGCAATAAAAGAAATAAACCATTGATACAAACAACTTGGCTAGATCTTAAGGGCATGACATGGAGGAAAACAAAAATCTTAAAATGTCACATACTTTATGATTTCATTTGTATAACATTCTGAAATGACAAAATTAAGGCAATGGAGAACAATTTGGTGGTTGCTATGATTTGAGAAGGTTGGGGGAGGAGGAAGGTAGCAGAGGGAGACCTTTGTGGAGTAGGATAGCTCTGTATCTTGATGTGGTGGGTTACATGAATCTATACAGGTGAGAAAACGACGTAGAAATACACAAGCTAGACAGAACGAACTGGTAGCGTACGATGCTATCTTCAAACTAAATGACTTTAAATGAGAAAAAAAGCTCTTTGAAAACAAACTGTTTAAAATGTTCAGAATGATTTTATAAGACAACCCAGTCATAAATAACTGACCTGACGCCTGCAGTTCCCAGGTGGCCTCCTCGTCGTAAGTTGGGGAACTGAACCAGCACCCATACAGGCCAATGTCCGAGGGAGTGATGTTTTTTAGCCTTAGAGAGACATTCCCCCGTGCAATGAAGTCCTTCACAAGCTCAGTTCTCCCTTGATACTGTGACATCTGCATAGATTCCAGGTCTTTCCCATCTCTGTAGAGGTGGACCACAGCATGGAGCTGATTCTTGAAGAACCGCACTTCCATGGCTTTTGCACTGGTCTCAGGAAAAAGGGAGCAGGAGAAGACAGCATCCTCCCCCACCGAGGCCTGGACAAACTTGTCTGGTCCTTTCACCTGCCACTGTCCTATAGGAAGAAACACAACCGATAACAGCAAAACCTACTTGAGTCCTCCTCAGGGCTCTGGTGGGCTGGAGATGTGTGGGGCGTGGGGTCGGGGAGTCCATCACGGTCTGCTTTCTAAACCCGATGACTTGCGTTTGCACATCTTCTTACACTTGCCAGAATGCTTCCAGGTCAGTTACTTCACTCCGTTCTCACACACATCTCATGTGAGAAGAGGTTAGGTATGTGCTATCAATATTCCCATATTCAACATAAGGAAACCCTGTCTCTGGGGCTGAGTTATTCAGGGCCCTGAGAGGCACCTTCCAAATACAGACTCCTCCACTAGAGGAGAGTCCCTCCACATGCTCTCCTCTCTGCCTATATGCTTAATGAACACTCACACCACCCTCTTTGCATCTAGTATGCTAAAAATCTTTTTTTATGACCCAGGAGAGGAGTAAGCAGCCATAAAATATCCAAGTCGGGGAGATTTATTTCCTTCAAAGATATGATTATGTCTTGCAAATGTTTTATGGCTACAAGAGAAGAATAGATATTCTCCGCTGAAGCACAATTTATTCGTGCTGCTTTTTAAGTATATTTCTGCCATATTCTGAAGGACATGGTATGACACAGTGAGGAGATTTTGTCGTTTTTATTTCAGAGATTTGCTCTTTAGTGCACTCATGTTGTGACGTATCTTTTGCATGGCACCTACCTTTTATTCCGGGTAATAATTTTATGTTTTTCCACTTTATTATTTTGGACTTGAATAGTATTTCATCGAGCAAAAGCTTGTCCAAGCCACAGTCGGTGGGCCACATGAGGATCAGGACAGCTTTGGGTAGGGTTCAACAGAAATTTGTAAACTTTCTTAAAACATTATGAGATATTTTTGTGATTTTTTCCCCCATTCATTAGTAATCATTACTGTTATTTCTTCTTCTTCCAATATGGCTCAGGGAAGCTAAAAGATTGGACACCCTGCTCTAGAGCTTTATCAACATGGCTTACCTGTTTTTGTTGGTTTTGGGGAGTTTGTTTTTTTTTTTGTATTTTCTTGGTATAGCTTTGCTTTGACCTTCATTTCAAACTGTCGTCACCTTGCTGCAGGCGTGATAATTGTTTGTTTTCTGCGAGTCTTCCCTGCACAACTCTCAGCTTCATGAGGACAGAGAGTGTGTGTTTTCCTCAGCACAGGATTTCCCATGCCCAGCGCAGAGAATGGGCTCCGCAGATAGGGATTATGCCTATGAGTGGTGAGCACTACTTTTTGCATTTGCTTATCTGTTTTGTGGTCAACTAAATAATTTTCCTGGTGTAAATCACACTCACCACTCTGTATGATTAGAGTTCTTCTTGGAGAGACCACAAACTATGGAGACCCACTCCCCTCACTGTGTGTAAGTACCCACCCCCTTCGATTGGCAACGTCTCTTGATTAATTCACATGTATCCATTTACATTATATGGATATACCTGTGTGTGGTGTGTGCATGTGCATCAGAGGCAAAGTGGGTCACACGTGTGAATTTCCAGACAGGTAGATATTTTTAATTTTAGCACTAATTATTTGTAAATTTAAGTACGTTTTATAAATCTTGCTGAAATGTATTTCACTGATGCATCTTTAAGAGCACTATTGAATGAGCCGTGATTTTGCAGCCTGATGTCTGACCAGCTGTTGACCTGGTAAAGCAGATGTTGAGGCCCTGCGCCTCACCACCCAACCCTGAGTCCCCCTGCAGTGGGATGGGCACTTCCCTGCCTGCTGACAGCTCTGCCCCTGGAGCCTGAACTCTGCCTCTCTGCTGAGGGCTTCCTGCAACTTTTAGAACCTCTGAACCCCAGGCATGGGGCAGCCCAGAAGGTTTGCAACTGTAAGAGTCCCAGGGACACATCTCACCCGGTGGGGAACTGGAAGCAGGGGATGCTGGGAAGATTCTGAGCTATCGTCTATGCGGTTCCTCCAAAGGACCCACCACAGCAGGCTCCTCATTAGCACCCCCTCTATGGCTTTCCTCCCACTGGCTTCACTCTCTCTGAACCCTGTCACTTTTGTTTCCAAGAATGATCTGTTAAACAAACCACCTGCAGAAAGGCCCTTGCTCTAGGTCAGTTTTGGGGACCCAGCCTGTCAGCTGGGCTGCTGTGAGTGTTGCCTCTTCAAGGCCGTGTAGGATTCTCAAGCCAAGCAAACATTTTTTTTTATTGCATTTTAGACTTGGGGGTACATGTGAAGAACATGCAAGATTGTCGCATAGGTACACACATGGCAGCGTGATTTGCTGCCTTCCTCCCCTTCACCTATATCTGGCGTTTCTCCCCATGCTGTCTCTCCCCACCTCCCCACTCTCACTGTCCCTCCCCCATTTCCCCCCTACAGACCCCAGTGTGTAGTGCTGCCCTCCCTGTGTCCATGTGTTCTCATTGCTCAACACGCGCCCATGAGTGAGAACATGTGGTGTTTGATTTTCTGCTCTTGTGTCAGTTTCCAAGCAAACTTTTTTTTTTTTTTTTTTTTTTGAGACGGAGTTTCGCTCTGGTTACCCAGGCTGGAGTGCAATGGCGCGATCTCGGCTCACCGCAACCTCCACCTCCTGGGTTCAGGCAATTCTCCTGCCTCAGCTTCCTGAGTAGCTGGGATTACAGGCACGCGCCACCATGCCCAGCTAATGTTTTTGTATTTTTAGTAGAGACGGGGTTTCACCATGTTGACCAGGATGGTCTCCATCTCTTGACCTCGTGATCCACCCGCCTCGGCCTCCCAAAGTGCTGGGATTACAGGCTTGAGCCACCGCGCCTGGCCTCCAAGCAAACATTTTTTAGGATATGTCTGCTCCTCCGGCCAGCATCGCTGCTGTCCTTTGTCTTGCTGACACCATCTCCCTTTACTCCTTCCCTTGAGGAATAACACTACCTGTTGCGGCAACACGGCGTGCACCAGTGGAGCTCTGTGCCGCATGCTCTGCATGCACAAGTTCATGCAATCCACACGGTAGCCCTTCAGCCCTCAGGAATGTCACAGATGTGATATTATCTCCATGTCATCATAAGCAAAAACTGACACTAATAGCAGTTATTCATCACAAAGCTCATAGTCAGAGAAAAGGAAAGTTAAAAATAGCCTGACTTCCTCCAAGGTCATTTCCAGGATGCCCTGCTACCTCATGCAGAAACGGAAAGCAGACAAAGAAGCTAATCAGAAAACGGGTGAAGGCCGGGCGCGGTGGCTCAAGCCTGTAATCCCAGCACTTTGGGAGGCCGAGGCGGGTGGATCACGAGGTCGAGAGATCGAGACCATCCTGGTCAACATGGTGAAACCCCCGTCTCTACTAAAAATACAAAAAATTAGCTGGGCATGGTGGCGCGTGCCTGTAATCCCAGCTACTCAGGAGGCTGAGGCAGGAGAATTGCCTGAACCCAGGAGGCGGAGGTTGCCGTGAGCCGAGATCGCGCCATTGCACTCCAGCCTGGGTAACAAGAGCGAAACTCCGTCTCAAAAAAAAAAAAAAAGGAAAAGAAAAGAAAACGGGTGAGAATGTACTTAAATGGGGGCTCTCTTGTGAGTAAGACACATGGATTTTGACGTCCTTATTTCTGTTTTCCTGGCTTTGTTTAGCAAAAAAGTCATAGGTAGACAAGCAGCAGGATGGAACTGTCTCAGACAGAAAGTGAACACAGTCAACTGAACTTTGTATGGCTTGACGCTGACCACCCAGAATCCAGTGTTCTACTCCAGCCCTGATCTCCTCCTGAAAAACGTGTTCAATTACTCAATATCGTATACACCAGGCTTTGTGTTGACAGTTACTAGAAAGAGAAAGAAGAGTGGATTTCTGCCCAGGATATGCCAGCTTCCAACTTATTCCTTACTTAAAGGTCGGGATGCTTTACGCCACAACCATAGCTCTTTCTAACTCGGCATGTCCATAGCTGGGCTCATTGTCTTTTCCTCCAAGCATCCTAAACAGTGTCACCCTCCAGCCAGGCACCCAGCTCAGAAACCTGGGGATTCTATTAGAGACTTCCCCTGCCTAAGTCCCACAGCCCACCTGGGGAAAACAACGTATTCACCCAGCATTCTTGATGTGGTCCCTCCCCACTCCCGGGGTCTGATCCTGCTATTCTGGGCTACTGTAACAGTATACACAGTGTCCAAGTCCTTAAGACACAGCCCAAGGAGTCTGTTTCTCATCTCCTGCTGCCCTGTGCTTCTCATAGCTCCTGGCACTGGTATACGCCAGCCTGAGGCCAGGAGAAGCCGGGGACTGCAAACACCAAGGATTCCTGCATCGCACTGTGCTGAGATCGTTCTCCTTCAACAAGGAGACAAACAACAGTCCAAACCGAGAGGCTTACCTGACACCAGCTTGTAGAAACTGAGAACTGAAATGAACACGAAAGCCATGGCTATTCCTGTGGGTTGATCTCACACTATGAAAACAGAAGACAGGAGGGGTGGATGGATGATTTGGAGGTCTGGCCAGCTGTCTCAGGTGCAGGAGCCCTATACAGGCTCTTCGTGGATTGATGTCAAGCTGCGCTTTTCTCCCTAGAGCCTCCCACAGGAAACGATGGTTGTGTGAATGAGGAGCATGGGGACTGGACTTTGAATCACTGCATTTAGTGGCAGGTCATAAACATTAATCTCAGACCAGATAAATGAGAATGGAAAGAGAGTAGGGTACACTTGGAAGGACTTTGTTCCGGGTCAAGGCTGTGCCCGGCATGGATGGTATAGGAATGCCACATGCAGACGTATTTTCAGGCTTAGTCTGGCAGGCAGAGCTGCAAGAGAGAGTGAGCATCTATCCCTGAAAGAGAGATCATCCCAGCACAGGACGGTGAGGCAGTGAATTTGCCCCAGGCACGCAGGCTCCATGAGACCTGTATTTCCTGGCAGAGCATGAGGTAATTCTGCCTTACCCTCCCTTGTCTTGAGTTGAGGGACCCTGATCATGAGGCCAGACAAGGTTGAACTTGCCAGAACAACCAGGACTTTGGTCTCCAGGGATCCAAGGTATTGATAAGACGGTGCTTCAGGCCTGGGGGTAAGGCAAAGATGCATTCATTCAGTCATTCATTAGATGCGCTCAGCCAGGACACACAGCTAGAGGTTATGCAGTGATTCCAAGTCTGTGGACACGCACAAGAATAAGCACTTACTAGATCAGAAAGAGGGTTTCCACAGGTAGCACCACAAAGAGTACATTCTCTAATCATAATACAACGAAGGTCAGTCACAGTTTAAAAACAGGAAATCCTATGAACTTAGAAATTGTTCATAACACAATTTTAAATAACTCATGGGTCTAAAAGAACTCATAAGAGAAGTTGAAGGTAATTAGACAAGACAAAGAATGAAAACGCTACCTTTAAAACCCGGTATGTTGCATGTAAGGCAGTTCCTACAGGAAGGCTTCTCCTTAAGTGCTTATGTTAGGAAAAAAGAAGTCTGAAAATTGGCTGAACAAAGCATCTGAGTTAATCTGAGTCAACACTTGGATCCTGAGAGTCTTTGGCCACTTGCCCTGTCTTTTCTCTCACTTCGCTTTCCAAGCAATTCGCGTGAGAACAACTAACCTGAAGGGAACTGTGAGGCTCGGGCCGGGGGGCTGCTCCCCCGTGGACTGTCAAAACTCTCAGCGGTCCACCTCCACCTGCCTGCAACAACAGATATTTGCTCTCTAACCCTTGCTCCTTCTTTCCCTCTTCTACCGTCTCTCTCTCTCTCTCTCTCTCTCTCTCTCTCTCTCTCTCTCTCTCTTTCCACCCCCCTCCACCCCCGCATGCAGCTCCAGTCTGGGAAGCCCTTTGCCACTTCCAACTGGAACATCTAACATTGAACACTAATTCAGCCAGCTGGTAAAATCTGCCTTCTCCTGGTACCAGAGAAAGTTCAGCCTGCCACCGCAGTCCTCAGAGGAGCAGCAGAAGGAAGCTAGAGGAAATCTTGGAGACGCCCAGTTCCTTCTCACCTTAACTGTCCTCTTTCAGAAAGAGGACTCTGGGTCTCTGTCTTTTGTCTGGGGACACCTAGAACCATACAGACACCCAGAACCATACAGACACCCCTGGCTTCCCCTTACCAGTCTACTTAGGTGCCAAACATTCCCACATGCCTACGTCCTCCCCACTGGGCCATCGTCTTCACAACCTCACCAAACTTGGCTTACCAGGGAGGCTAAAGTCAAAGCATTTAGTTTTATATGGCAACACGGCTTGGCCCCAAGACAGACTACGTAATGACAGCCAATGGCCCCAAAATGGTATCTTTAACTTTCACATTCTCAGGAACTTTGAGGACTTTATCACCAGAAACCTTTTGCAAATGGCAAATGGTTCCCTACAGTCAGGCTATCTTCTACCTTAAGTCTTACCCCTCCTCCCTCTTCTCCCATTTAAAAACGACTCCAAAGAGTCAGACCCCCTCTGCCGCTCTCTCTCTCCGGGAAGTGGCTGGGGTTGGAGGCATAGCTCGTGTTCACGTCTCCTTCTCCATGTCTGATTTGTTGCAAATCAAACAGCATCTGGGATCTTTCTCTAAAAATCCCTCTCATCATTGCAGGGAATTCCTGCACATAATTGAATCCTTTAATTTAAACTGGCATAATAGTTACATAATTCTAACCTCCACCCTCATCCCAAGTAAAAAAAGAATGCTGAGCTTAATTAAAATCGAATATCCAAGCTGTAAGTATATCCACAGGGCCTTTATGTTTTTCTCTTCATAAATCTCGTTTTCCTGGGAAAGGTTTTTCTCAGTCAACTAAATTACTTTTCTCCACTCTGTCTTAACCACTCTTGGTGCCTATATAAAAGACCCTAAAATAACTTCTGGTGGCCTGGGGCTCCTTGGGAAAACAGAAAAGGCGCCATAAATCCCATTTTGGGAAAACCTCTGTTTTTCTTATGGAGCCCCTGGAACTAGAGGTGAATAAGTACCTCTCAAAATTCGTCTTTGTCTTCCAGCTATGCCTGTTTATTAGGCCCTAGACTGTATTCCTAGCTGTGTTCTGAAAGGGTCTCACTGGAAGGCCAATAATCCAATTGGGAAATTAGAAAATCAAAAATCTTATAACTACTGGATCTTCTTCTGGTTGTCTGTGTGGCTATATGTGTGTTATGTGCACAATGTCTACTAAAAAGAGCTCTAATTAATTGCCTAAGAAAAGTAAGTGCTTAAATCAAGTATTTTCAAGAGAAAAGTAAAAGTTTTGAGACCTTTCAGTTCATGTAACTTTAATATTTAAAAATAAAAACAGTCTTGGGAGTTTTTGGTAAAATACCAATGTCCTTAAGGTATAAAAATGCGGTCTACACAAACATTTAGAGGTTTGCTAAATGTTTTAAGGTTGTAAACTGCTTCTTTAGCCTTTAAAAACGGTCGACTTGCCTGCTTCACAACTGGTAAGGCCAGAAACATATGAAAGTAACCATGGCCCTAACTATGCTGGGGAAAGTCAAACTTCATCTGCATCTAGCACAGAATTTTAAAAATTTAACAGGTTTTACATTAAAGTTAAAAGTTGCTAAAAGTTACCATTATGACATGTGATTAAAACTACTAAGCATGAATTTTCATGCAAGGTGTATAAAAACAGTAAAAAATTTTTTAGTTAAAAATTATAAGAAGGCATAAAAATGTACATTTTGCTTAAAAATAAAAAAAATCTTAAATAAAATAAAGTAAATGGTTTAAGCAAATTGGAAAAACATTGTAAAAATGAATCCTGCAAAGAACACTCTGTGTGTAAACATATTAACTAAACTTAAAAGGGCACCACAAGGTTTTCTTAAAATGCTAATCTACTTTTTAGCAAAACTTGTCAAGGGTCATAACAGATATGTAAAAATCTCACTTCATAGTCAAACTGGTTAATATTAAATAGAATTGTCTGTAAGATCCCGTTAAAATTAGGGTTAACGTTAATAGCAAACTAATGCAAGGGTAAAATTTAACTTTCTCTCTTAAACAGGATTTTCATGTAATAAAAAAGCTAATAAAAATTTGCTTTTCCAAATTTTTAACTCATCATTTTGGCAAAACAAAACAAAATAAAACAAACAAACAAATAAAACCAAACTTATAATGATCTAAAATTCTGTTTTATAATATCATATGTTTTAAATTTTAAACATGTCGATCAGGCTTCCCCAAATCAAATTTTAATATCAGTATTGTCTTTCCTAACCTCTAACTATCAGGTCCTGCAAAGAGCCCCTAAAGCATCTGGAAAAAAGGTAAAGAGGATTATTTAACATGTTTAGGTACATAAAATTGACAAAATAATGCCTAATAAGTTATATTTTAGGGAATAATATTAACATATGTTCCAAAGCTGTATGAAATGTCTAAGGTTAGTGTTTGAATATGTGCTATTAAGCACAATGAAGGTTGTTATGTTGGGTTATTGTAAACCATAAAAATGACCAAATTTCTTTGTCAATTGTGTTTATAACTGTATCCAAACTGAACATTTTGTCATTTACAGACAATTGTTGGTTTGTTTTAATTCTCTTCAAAAGATGGTTAAGAGTCAAACTGTGGAACTTAAAGTGCTCTCAAATGTGGATTTCTCACAACAGCAACAAATACACAAAACTCATGAAAAGCTAAAATGTTTATAAATGTCAAGCAAAACAAAAGTTAATAAAATGGACTAAACTAATAGAAAACCAAAACAAGTTTTACCTTTTTGCTTAAAACATTGCTAATCCTTATTTTATTTTTCAGAGTCAAGAAAACTTGTCTTAAGCTAGCTACAACCTTTCACCACTAAGTAAAGTACACTCTTGTAAATAGAGTTTGAAGTATGTTTGTTTCTCTCTGCCTAGTTCCTCTAGAATTTAAAAACTAGTTATAAGTATTCTTAAATTACAACAGTATAGTTGTTAGCATCAGTGCAATGAGAATCTGTTTTCTGGCTGGACGCAGTGGCTCAAGCCTATAATCCCAGCACTTTGGGAGGCCGAGGCAGGTGAATCACGACATCAAGAGATCAAGACCATCCTAGTCAACATGGTGAAACCCCATCTCTACTAAAAATACAAAAATTAGCTGGGCATGGTGGCACTCGCCTGTAGTTCCAGCTGCTCAGGAGGCTGAGGCAGAAGAATTGCTTGAACCCAGGAGGCGGAGGTTGCAGTGAGCTGAGATCGCGCCATTGCACCTCCAGCCTGGGTAACAAGAGTGAAACTCTGTCTCAAAAAAAAAAAAAAAAAAAAAAAAGAATCTATTTTCTTTTTTAACAGAACACAGTTGGAAGAACTGGTTATTTTGCCAAGGATTTGACTGGAATGGTGTGCTCTCCTTTAGGGAATCAAACTTGACTTATGGAGCTAATAAAGCCCTTGGAAACTAGCCTTATATTCTGTGTGTGTAGTCCCTATACAGGGTTTCTGATATGTGGTAAGGAAAGAATGTCACTTTCTGACAGGCCAGGAACCCCAAGTTACCTTGGACCCTCAAAAGGAAAGAAATTCTGTCCAACTCATAGGTGTTTAAGAGTACAAATTTATGTTTCAAAAACGATAGCACACCTGTTTTTAAATTCTAGTTTT